CTTATCAGAGAGGTTAGAAGATACTAGACTCGACTGATAAGGAGAGGGGAGAATAGACTCGACCGTAGGTAGGGAGAGGTGAGAATAGACTCGACTGAAAGGAGAGAAGGAGAGGGGCTTCTTTCTTTCAAATATGAAAAAAGGGGGGAGTGAGGGCGGGAAGGAAGAATGGAAAGCCCTCACTTTATTGATGGGGACATTTTGATCCCCTTTTCCTCTCATCCTCCCCCGGTTCTGGTTCAGGGAAAGGGTCAACGCAAGGATCTTACTTCGAAGCAATCTCTGGAGGGTTCCCTTATCCGAACGGGTCTTGCAAGAAAATAGGATTTCATATTGAGCTCCAAATATACGCTATTGGGATGGGATGGCTCCTACTAGCTTTCCCCCCCTAAGAACCGCACGTGCGAGTTCCCCCCGCATACGGCTCAAGTGGCGAAGGCCCTTTCCCTTCGCGCTTGGTAAGCGCTTCGCTGTAGTCAAGCTTACTGCTAGCCTACCGCCTAGAGCCAAGCTTCGACCGCGGACTGCTCGTCGCTTCTCTGGCCGCCTTATTCCGTCACCCGAGATCCAAGTCAGCACCCGGCAAAAGATCTCTTGATTCCTCGCGGCCGGGCCGGCTTGGAAGCAAGCTACCTCTTGCCTATCTCACCTCCTTTCCCCTTCTTCATACCCACGGGGCGGTAAGCTTCCAAAGCTCCTTCCTTCAGCTGGGTGAGCCTTCGCTTTTTGGATCGTCTTCTGCCCAATGCGGTACCCCCCCGGTTTTTGGTTCCCATTGGGTTTACCTTGTTCACAGGTCGACCCCATGGCAGCAAGAAAAGGCGATCTTGTGCTATACTCCGGTGATCTCTTTCCTACCGAGACACGCAAAACTCCCCATCGTGTCCCAGATCACATTCCGTGAATCGAAAGGGAAAGCCTACTCATCTATCAGCTCCTCTCGTAGATCGGTGCGGTTTTACGAAGCGTCCTAAGCACAGTTCACTCGCGTTGATCAATCTTCAGTGTTGCCGCCACTCCTTAAGGTTATCTGTTGTATCATACACTTCTTTCATTCTTTCCCACGCTTCATACCTCCTCTTTCTTCTTTTATATTAGCACAAACAAATCTCTTTTTTTCTCATTTTGTTGTGAAGTGAAAAAGGTAAAGGGGCCAGGCATGGTGGGGTAGGAGCATCCAGTCGGCAATCTTTTTGGCTTGACCAAGAAGTCTTATGTCCTCCGAGTCGCACGGCGTTTTAACCGAAATAACTTCTTGCGCAATTCATTGCGTTTCTGTTTTTATGACCAGAAATTGTTTCTTTATTTTCATTTTTTATTTTCATTTCAAATTGTTCTCTGGACTTTTTATCAATATGAGGTGATCGTAACACAGTATATAAGACTCGTGATTCAGGCAATCCAATCTTCCGTGTGTAAGGCGGAAGCCCGTTTTCGAGAAATGGGTGATAAAAAGATCTAATTACTATGCGTATCTTGGTGGTCGTTACTTTTGGTGGTCTTTCTTTTGGCTGACTCCTCTTCTTGTTCTATTGATCAGAAGCATCCAGCAGCACACGCCGATTTAGAATTAGATGATAAGGGCTAAGGCTCCCCCTATCCCCCTCCCCATCAAAAGTGAACCGTATCAATGAGTTGTATGTAATATACACTCTCAACCCCGTGTTTGGGCCAAATCATTCTAGATGGAAAGAGAGTAATTCAATATCATTTCGGGGACTAATGTATAAATAACGTCATATGTTCTTCTACCTGGTGGCAACATTACATCATTCTGAGTGAATAAGGGGGGATACTACTTTATAACTGAGTTGTTCTTTCATAGTCTCGGCGACCGATTCTTCGATACGACTTTGGTAGTTTTCTACTGTTCAATTTCGCAGCCTGGCGACTCGCCAGCTGGCTATAATTCAAAGAAACGAAGGGAGAACGAGTCCAAATGAATAAGATGATGAAGCACCAAATCAGACATGGGAACTCTATATTAGAATTACGGGAAAAATGAAAATGTTATAACTCCTGAAAGTCGATCCGATCAAAACCTCACATGCGAGGTAACGGAAGATATGCTTTCCAAGCCAAGGAATTTGCAATCCGCAGACTAGCCCCGATCGGACTTCAAAAGGAATTGATTCGATTGCCCGAGTCGAGGAAGCTTTAGCTGATGAAAGGTACGAAGTGACTCGACTGAAAGGAGAGGGATGATCAACTACACACCCGAAGCTAATACCAGCGAATACTTGTTCCTACCCGAAAAAAGTACTATTGAAACGGGATAATCAATTTTGTCGTGTCAGCCATGAAGAGATGAGTTCGGAGTAGCGGATCAAGGAAACTTCCAGGTTACTTTAGTTCCTGAAAGGGTGTAGATTCGGAAAGATTCATACAAAGAGGGGATAAGAAGGGATAAGATAAGACCCGAAGCGGATAGTAGAAACTCTTTGAGTTCAGCATAAATAAGTACCCCAGAGGCTACGAGAAAGATCTGAGGGCGATCTCA